GGGATATATAAAAAAACTTGAAAATGTTGGCCAATTGGCTTCTACATGTCACAAATAATGAAAATTTTGAATATCAGGAAAATGTTCTTACGGCAATTTTGCCACAAATTAGTCCATTTTTTAATGCAAAAAATAAATCTACAATAGTATCACAACCAGACATATCTAATACACTCGATAAATCTCTATATTCTAATCACAGTGCTCCAAGTTATTTTATATTAAAAACAGTAATAAAATTAAACCAAATTCCTATCGAATTTCAAGAAGAGGAATTGAATGAGCTAAAATATAAAGAAATTGGCCAGAAAATGGGACAAAATCTATGGCAATCATATAAATGTCTTAAAAAAAATATAAATAACTTACAAACTCCAAAAAGTCTTAATGATTATATTAGTGTATTTCCCGGATCTTTAACGAATTTTTTTGAGTCCATGCTTACAACAATATTGGAAAGAAAGACCGCAGAATCCAACCTAAAATGACTCCTAAAAGAAAAATCATTAAAGGAATTAGATTCGCAAAAAATCAACCATCTTTTTTCTTTATTAATTTCAGCTTTAATTAATTTTACATTTCCATACCTAAATTTGTGGCTACCGAATGTATTAGCTTTATTATGCCGATGACCAAAATTATTATCTTCATTGCATGACCTTTTAACCAAATGTTCTATTATTGGACATACGAATAGACATGAACGAAGATTGGAAAAAATACGGATGAAAAGTGCTGACCCTTTTAAACGCCTATTGACCGAAAAAAATGTCTTTAATTTAGCTGTGATTGATAATATCGATTTTAAAGAAAGAAGCTTTCAATTTGGAAATATTTATGATGTAACTTGAGGTACATTACATGCTACGCTAAGAATGGTGTTTCAGTTTTCATTACCGGAAGTTATTGTTGAAAAACCAGAACCAATACGTGATCTAAATATTGATACACAAATCTTTGGAATATCACAAGAAATGCGCGATATTATTTTCAAAATAAATGAAATTTTTATAAGTTTGCTGGCATTCCGGTACAATGAAAGACAAGAACTAGAATACAATAAGATTGATCTTACAGCAATAAATTCAGAAATATTAAGGCAAACAGAATTCGGCTGTAATCTTCTACCTCCAAACGTAGTCATACTAGAACCAAGTGGATTTTCAAATGATGATAACGAAATCTTACATGTTACGGAAATGTATAGAAGAGATTTTTCTTTGGAGGAGAATGATTTTCTAGATATTTGTGCAGATGAGGCGATATTTAGACGATTAATTAAATGCCGCAATAAATCAGAAAATATACGGCCTATTCTTGGTTAGTGGCACACCTCAAAGGATATGATGAGCGCCTTGGTTACATTATTTTCAAGTTACGGAATATATGATTTGGCTACGGCTTTAGGTGTTAAATTTTTGGATAAATTTGCAGCTGTTATTGACTATCGATCTACAAGAAGGGTTTTAGAACTAATCTGGGTTGCAGTTGGAGCAGCCATTAATATATACTTACAAAAAAGTAAGATTAAAATCAAGAAATATTATCTTGTCCTGCAAATGAGAAAATATTCTTAAGAATATGGTACTTATATTATGAATGGTTTGCAATATGGAAAACTCATCTTACCGGAATACGCTGTGGAAATTATGAATTACAAAAATTTAGATTAGCAGCTTTTGCTCCACTTTTTCCTGTCGCGGGAAAAAGCAATTATGCTACTTCTGTTACACATTTTCTTGCGAATTTAGAAAAATATCCACTGTTAGAAAAAAAACTTCGTCTTTGTGTTTCTATAAATTTAGCAAGAGAAGGACATTATCCTGCTTTTGATGAAGCGTTAGAAACTCATGGTGTTGCTTATATTAAACAGAATATTACTGGAAATTCGTGTAATCAAGAAAACTTAGAGTTACAAATTAAAGCAACTCAAGAGGAAAGAAATCGAATAGATACATTATTAAATGAATTTCTGGGTACTTACACATATCAACATAAGGATCGCAACACAAATAATCATATTGAACCATTATGAAAATTAGTGCATGATTTATTAGAAGCATTCGAAATGGATAATCCTATTAATCATGATCTTTTNGATCACAAATTAAATTATAAGAACTTTTAATAAATATTGATAAAAAAGAAATTCAAGAAATATAGGAAGTTAATTATATTGCAATATCTTCATTAATAAAGTTATATTATGTAGTGATATTTGGAGAAATAACATTACTTTGTACATACATATATATTATCAACCAGGAAATGCTATATCAGCACTAATATCAGATTTTTCTCCAATCTAACAAAGTTATTTTTCACATGAGTTTTATGTTTGTTTGAATTAATACCATCTGAAACAAACAATTATATTACAATTAATTAAAGATCTACAACTTATACAACCAATTCATTACAATATATTAATCAAATATAAATTGCTAATACTTATACATCGATTATTAGAGAAAATATTAATAAAAAGATCAAATTCAGTATTATGATGTCAGTAGCAAAAACTAGTGTTTAAATTGCTAGTTAGCTAGACTTCTTATAGAATTATTATAAAATACTGTCAAAATACTGCTTGAATATAAAAGTAATTTGTTATGAAGAGCCTTCTGTAATTCTATTAATATTTGATAGTAATATTCCAAAAATTTTAAATCTGGAATATTATAAGCCAAAATGACGTTTTCTGAAGTGTTATCATTAATAGAAGAGAGTAATGTTCAAAATATATCAACTTCATTTAAAACGTGTAATTATTATTAGGAAAAAGAATATAATATTAAGGAATGCAAATAAAAAACTTATTTAGTTGTAAAAGAATAAACATGATTTTTTACTTTTATATTTTTAAAAATTATTTTTTATAAAAAATTATTTTTAAAAAGAGCTGATTATCTTTATTAAATTTTACTGTTAGGTTAAAATACAAAATATATCTAATCACTACCCATTTAAGTGCAATAACAAATATATCTCATGAGTATATATTCTCAAATTTTATATAATAAAATACTTTAATTTATATATTATTTGAAAGTTACAGTTTTAGAGAATAAATATTATATGAATTTTTATATTTTTATTTTTCAAATTAACAATTATTAATATCTAAAAAAATAAAAATTAGCATTATTTCAAACTTTTTAAATTGTATTAGAAAAAATATTATACTAATAAAAAAAACTCCTAAAATTAAATATCTTTTAAATTTTTTATTTAAAATTTTTGCAAAAAAAAGTATTTAATATTGGAAAAATATAATTAATAAATTATATATAAAAAGGAAATATTATATGATTTTTTTTCTTTTTTAAACTAGTTTATAACCAATAACATTAATAATAAATTTACTAATAAATTTTTCTAAAAACTTCTATTAAAAGTAAAATATATTTAAAATTTTTGAAAATTAGGTAATTTTTTAAATATTTTATATATCATAATTAAATATTGATCACTATAAAGTTAAATAGTAAAAAAAAAAAATATTTTATATGATTAATAAGTAGTTTCATAAAAATTAAATGTTTTATAAATATAACAAGTAAATTTTATAGAATTTTAATAGATAATTTCTATTTATACACAATAATTATTTAAATAATTTGAGTATATTTAAGTATTTAAATAGGTTTAGTAGTTATTTAAGTATTTGTTTAGTCAGATATAATATAGTTAAAATTTTAATTGGATGTTAAATTCTCTGAATTAAAATTAAGTATATTTAAATATATTTGATTTCAAGTATACAGGCTGTCTCTTATACACATCTAGATGTGTATAAGAGACAGGGAAAAAATATTATCAAGTTAGTTTATTAAAAAAAAAAAGAAAAACTTTACAAAATCCAGAATATTTAATGATTTAACGAAAAAAAATTAACTGAAAAATAATTAATAATAAATATCAAATAGATTTTTAATTAAACAACTAATCAATACATAATCTAAATTCGCTAAAATATCATTATTAATATTTAGAGTTATTTATTTATTGAAATATTTTTTTTGAATAATTTTGCTTTCTAAATAAATTTTTTCTATAAACTATAAAAAAAAAAATAAAAAAACAGCTCCAAGTTGTATTTAATATAAAATAATTACTAATATACTTGCAAAAATTCTCAACTTACTTGATGTAAAAACTAAAGCTCTGAACGGTTCGAGCTAAACCGGGGAACCGATCTGAAACCGGCTCAAAATTCGGTTCGGTTCAGTTTGGGTATTAGAACCGAAAAACCGGCAGTTCGATTCGGTTTAATCCGATTTTTATAAAAAGCGAAAAATCGAATAGCCGGCCATCTAGTGATCGTACAAAGTTGAGCCATATATCATTGGATTCTTCTCGACAAGACGCGTCGAATGGTGGTACGATCATGTCTCTAGCATCCATAGATCACACGTTAACCTACGCTAAATGATTTATCAATAATTGGAATTAGCAAGCTATATATCGGTGCTATAGACATGATCTTAGCACCATTCGACGCGTCTTAGTGAGACGAATCCAATGAATATAAATTCGTTCGTGTACAACCACTAGATAGCGAATAATATCAAGTTTCGCATTTCTTTAAAATTTTCGAGCGTTAAAAATTAAAAATTCCGATACATGAATTTATTCGTTGTCCAATAGTCATACAAATATGAATTAGGACTCATTGGATTCGTCTCGATGAGATGAGTCGAATGGTGGTAAGATCACGTCTCTAGCATCGATAAATAGCTTGCTAATGCCAATTTTTTATAAATTATTTAGCGTGAATTAACTTACGATCTATTAATGCTAGAGATATGATCTCACCACCATTCAACTCGTCTCATCGAGACGAATCTAATGAGTTCTAATTCATATTTGTATGACCATTGGACGACGAATAAATTCATGCATAGGAATTTTTAATTTTTAACGCTCGAAAATTTTAAAAAAATGCAAAACTTGATATTATTCGCCATCTAGTAGTCGTACACAAACGAATTTATATTCATTGGATTCGTCTCACTGAGACGCGTCGAATGGTGCTAAGATCATATCTCTAGCACTGATAGATAGCTTGCTAATTCCAATTATTGATAAATCATTTAGCGTGGGTTAACGTGTGATCTATTGATGCTAGAGACATGATCTTACCACCATTCGACGCGTCTCGTCTAGACGAATCCAATGATATATGGCGCGACTTTATACGATCACTAGATGGCCGGCTATTCGATTTTTCGCATTTTTATAAAAATCGGATTAAACCGAACCGAACTGCCAGTTTTTCGGTTCAGTTCTTACGGATTTCGGCTCTAATCCGAACCGTCTATAATCCGGACCAAACTGACCCATTCGGAGCTTTAGTAAAAACTGGTTGAAAAGTTGATGAGGGAGTTGATGGGGAGTTTAATAGGGAGTTTACAAAAAAAAAAAATTTTTTAATGCTACTTTTTTGTTAAAGTAATTTCTTGATATCTGTCATATGATTATGTAGCACAAGTGTGATCATTTTTGCGAAACTTAATTTACCTAATTTTTATTAAATTATTGTCAAATTCCTTAATTCAGACAAATTTTGTTAATTCTGCAGATTGGCGGATATGTAATTGGATTTTACGATATATATTAGAAGTAATTAAATAATCTTTTGTTTTTTATACTGTTTACTAATAGTAATTCAGAAATGTTTATTTATTAAAGAATATGTCACTTACTATACATCTATTATATTATTAAAAATATAAAAAAGAAAACTAAATTCAAATTGCATATTGAAATGATTAAAAGTTTTATTGAGAATTTTTATTAAAGCTCTACATGAGCCAGCTTGAGCCGAGCTAAGGGCTAGCTCAGCTTGGCTGAGCTTGGCTTGTTCCAAAAGTGCACAAGCTGGCTCATTTTCAAATTATATAAAATTTAGTATAACTAAAATTTCAAAACGTGATATCTTCGCTAATATTGCTCCAAATTTAATGATTTTACTACCATTAGATTCGTCTCATAAAGAGGAATCGAATGGTAGTAAAATCATTAAATTTGGAGCAATATTGGCGAAGTTATCACATTTTGAAACTTTAGTTTTAATTTTTAATAAATTGAGTTAAGCCAACACTAAGCCAAGCTATAATTGCAGCTTGTTTGGCTTGATTTGGCTCAGCTTAAAAGCTCACGAGCTGGCTTGGCTCATGTAGAGCACTAATTTTATTATATGCAAAATAGGTACAATGAGTATCAATTTAAAGTAAGATATAATGATATATTTACAAAATATAAGCCATACTGATTTTATTTTGAGAAAAAACTTTATCTTACTTACTATACATGAAGTCAAAATTAAAGCCCAAGAATAGAAATATTTCGACTTGGGAAGGTCAAAAGTTGAAATTAAAGTCGAAATGGTTGAAATTACATCATAGTCATGTAATTTTTATAATTATAATTTAATATAAAATTTTAAACGTGAATAACTCCGTCAATATTGATGCTACAGATATGAAATACATATCATTGGAATCCTCTCGATGAGCTGAATCCAACCGTGTAAAGATCATAAAATTCGAATTACTGGATGCGGAGTTCGTTAACTTTGAATTTTAATATTATTATTTACTATAAAAATTATCATATGGGCCGATCCTTGGAATCTAATTTTTTTACACAAAAATAATTTTATTAAAGCAAATATAAATTATCATTTATATAAGAATAATAAATTTATACTAGATAATGCAAAAAAAACTAATTAATTATATAATTTTTAATTTTTTTTTAATATAAGATATCATTAAAATTTAAAAGATCAAATATAACTTTCATGACAAAATCATTGATAATTCTTCGTAGAAATAAGCTATACAAATAAATTTACATTCATTTGAAAGAGAAAATCGAGATCTATCTAATGAATCTAAAATCAAGTGAATTGAATCACTAGTTGCTCAGTAATTACGTTCAGTATATTTATTGAATTTTATCTAAATTTGATCATTAATTACTTCACATGTAGTGATTCAATTTGAATGATCTTTTCTCCCTAAGGTG